GATTCATTGTTGTTTGAATATGCAGGGGTGGCTGTAGGGGCTGGGAGGCAAGCTATTGTTGCATATATTAACATTGGTTCTTATTATGTGATTGGGGTGCCACTAGGAGCTGTTCTTGGATATGTAGCCAAGCTTGAAGTCAAGGTTAGAAAACAAATTTTGTTGATTGGAGTGTCATTTTCATCTTTACTATCTTTTTTTTTTCCTTTTTTTTTTCCTTTTTTTTTTTACTTGATATAAATTATATAAAATAATAATGCTCTCTTTCGATAAATCTCTAGTACTCATCTTAAGATTTGAAATTAAGATTTGAATTTAAAACTTATAAGTAAAATCTCTTAAGTCTTAACTACCGGGGGCTTGGGAAGGACACATTGTTTTGGTTTACTAAAGCAGTGCTCCTTTACTTGATTTGATAGGGTATTTGGATTGGTATGATAGTTGGGGTTGCAGTTCAATCGGCAATATTAGGCTTCATTACTTCTAGAACTGATTGGGAGGAACAGGTAATGAAAGAAATTCTCTTTAACTTTTTCTAATTATATTTAAATTACATGTTTTTTACATGAAATATGAAGCTTTTAATTCTTATTTGTAGGTGAATAAAGCATCGGAGAGAATGAATAAGTGGCTTTTGAAGTCTTCTGGTGATTCTGAAGGAAACCCAGACCAAGAAAGAATAAATGAATAAACAAAATTGGCTCTTTTCTTTCTCTCTCTTTTTTTTTTTTTTTTTTTTTCTCTGATTAAGACAAAAGTTCAAAATGCTTATTAATTGATATTAATAAACATTATGAGTTAATCACTTAAGTAGGTAATCTCATCCTAGTAGAAATAAATTTAAATCATATAATATATGAGTGGGGAAAGTTAAAGGATAAAAAAATATGTCTCATTTTATATATACAACTTAAAATAAAAAATAAAAAAAGCATTTAAAAAAAATAAAACATTGATACACGTTATTGAAGCTTTTGAATTTTGGAAACTTAACCTCTTTTGACAATAAACATTCACAATTGGTAGATCTACAAAAGATGCCCCTTTCAACAAATTGGATCCATTTATCATAGTTGATTTTCAAATTAAACAATGTTATAATTATGATATTTTGTAAAATTGTAAACTTATAATCATGATATATTATTAAATAAATGAATGCATATAATATTATAATTTATTTTTAATAAAAAATTAATTTTATAATAATATGTTATGATTATAAACTCACAAATAATATTGTAATTATAGCATTATGTATGACCATATGATTTTTCTTTTCATATCAGTGGATGACGTAATGGTATAATAACACTATATTTAATACTGAGTTAGTATATACTTATATTATTTACGTAAAATCTTAGTTATTTATGTCTTTACAACAAATGTTAAAATTTATTATAATTTTTAGATAAAAAATAATTATCTTTAAAAAATAAAATAAAAAATAAATAAATCAAAACTATTCATAATGAAAAATAAACTATTAAAACTT